GAGAGAGAGAGAGATGCAAGAGAGAATGAGTAAAAATGGAGCCCCAGACACACCATATGCAAGCTGCCCCCCCCCCCCTTTATGACTCCCGCTTGAGAACGTGGCAGAAGTTCAAGACAGGGAATCCCCCCAGCAAACCTTGGCCCCAAATAAGACAAAGGAAGCTTTCTTCGTGTTAGACCATCTCACAAGAAGTTGGTACCGGAGAGAGGAGTGAGTCCCTTATGGCATGTGTACATTCATGAGAGGCATGGAAGGAGCCATAAATAAGAAGGCCATGTACTTAGATAATATAGGTGTTCTAAATGTGATTCCAACCTAGTAAGAAGCTTCCTATAATATGGGTCCCAAACCTAAAGAGACCTGAAAGCATATCCCTCCATGCTCGGTTCATTCCAATCCTCATATGCATGTGCTAAAAGACCCCCAAATACACCAAAACCAACAAAACTGTCTCAGGGAACAAAGATTTCTGCCAGAATGAGAGGTGATTCATGCATAGCAGGAACTCCACTACCTTTAATTTGTAAATAATAATATCCACGTTAGAAATGAACCAATAGCACATTCAAACTTAACCACGTCAATGTACAAATTCAAGTTTATTGCTTGAAGTAATTAACACTTATCGATAGGTGAAAGTTCTTGAAGTGAGGAGTGAAACATAGAGCAAAGCAGCACAAGAAATAACAAAAAAATAATGTGTTCAATAATAGAAAGAGACATAAATTGCCATTGATATATGAAGCAGCATAGAATCTTCGATGATCGGGTATAATATTTCAGAATCATGATTTCAAAACTCCATCATGAATCATTTAAAAGGAAAAGCAACACAAAAATGAGAACTTGTTCTGTTCGGTAACTCTAATGACCACAACAAGTGATTTCTTCTTCTGATCTAAACACAACCCCAACAACTCTCTCTCCACAAAACATGTCATCCTTGAAGCATTTAAATAAAGCTTACAGGTATATCTGACCACTCAATCAACATGGATCAATATGGCCCAAAAGGGCCTCACTAGGTCATCAGCAAAAGCTACAGAAAAGATCTAGATATATAAAAAGCAGCCATGCAATTGGGCTTGCCTTTGTTTTCGTAGGTTTTGTAATCCCTATCCCATCTATACAATGTTAACATTATCCAAAAAAAAAAGCAGCCATGCAAATGCATGCATACATAAATGTGTGTGTGTGTGTGTGTGTTGATATAGAGAAGAGGGGGAGAGGAAGGATTGGTGGGGAAGGGAAGCAAGGTTCGAGAGTGAACGTCAATGACAGGAAAAATTTGTTTATCAAATGGAGACGAAAACCAATCACAGAGAATATATTATAGGCAACAATCGACATATTAGGACAACTGAATGAATTTATGATTGAAACAAGCAGCATCCCTCACCTGTAAGAGAATTCGAACAAGCTCAGTGCTCCCAAAACGTGAGGCCTCGAGAAAACATTGGTTGACATTATCAGCACCCCCCTCAACCAACATTCCAAGCAAACCCTGCATTGCACTTGAGGCAATGCCAGAGGTCCAACGAGTATCAATGGCACTCGAGAAAAGGGTCAGTGGGAAACAAGCTGCATCAAAGGCCTCTGTGAAGTCCTTTCCAGTGAGCTGGTCACCAGCAAAATCCAAAAAAGCCTTGAATGCCGAAAGCTGGAGTTGAATTTCAACGGCTGAGCTATGCAATACAGAGTTTTTACTACCTTGGCAACGTGAATGGAAACCAATGCATTTGAGAGCCCATTCTGTGAATCTCTGAACTTTGGCAGTAGCTTCGGCCTTCAAAACCTCATCTCCATTGCACTCTTCAAGGCGCTCACTCAATCTAATAACAAAAAATGCAATCTGATTAACACTTATTCATGTACAAATGCTACAATAACATTTCTTGGTTGTTTAACTACATAATATGAATTCTGATGAGTGCAAGACTAATGGATAGCTGAAAACACACCCGTACACACAAACACCATTCCAATTAACACTAAATTCATGGAGAATTGCAGAGAGAACACCGCTTGCTCATTTCAACAACAAAGCATGATTTGTGAATAGCAAAAAATACATGAACAACTGAAGAAAAAAAACACACACACACACACAGGCATCCCAATCTAACACCTAAATATAAGGACACATGCAGAGATGCAACCTCTTTCTTTGTCTACCAACAAAACATGCATTAAGAGCTAAATACATGGATAGGTGGAAACACATGGACACACACACACACACACTACTTGTGTTAGACAGTTAGAACATCAAGATGGGAATGGCGACATGGTGATGTGAAAGTGAGTCATATGTTTCGAAAGCCAAGGTTAAGCTGATTTATGACTGGATCCCTTGGGAAAGTTTATTATTCACTTGTGTTATGGAAGACTAGTGTTTTTTTTTTTTGAGACTGTTAACTGTTGTATTGAAATAGGAAAGGAGTACAGGGGTCTAGGGAGAGAGCCCACATACTGGGTCTCTCGGCAAAAAATGAGCTAACCTCAGACAAATGAGCCTATACAAAAAATGAGAGGGGCTTATAACACTGCCTGTTACAACGATGTACCAAAAAAGCAAAGAAAAAGGGGTCTGTCAAGGAATGAAGTCCTGCGGTGGAGGGCCACAAAAACCCGGATGTACAAAAAGAGAAAGCCGTGGTCTTGCGAGCGTGGGTCCCCAGTACTTCTAAGGATCTATGACCTGTGTGAGAGCTCCGTCCTTAGCCAAGTAGTCCGTCAGGCCGTTTGACTCCCTCTAAAGATGCGTCCATGAGACGGCAGTATCCCTGCAAAGGTGTGAAATCTCATCATAAATAGAAGCAAGGCACCAAGGTGGGGTGGCGTGGCCGGCAGCCCAAGTAACGATATTACAGCCCAAGTAATGATATTACGGGCATCTCCTTCCACTAAAAGAGGTTGACCCCACTTGAGGTCTAACATTTTGAGGCCCATGAGGAGCGCCATGGACTCGGCAAGCTGGGAGTCGGCGTGGCCAATGTGCTTGGAGAAAGAGGCCAGGTTTTTTCTTTTAAATTTTTTTTTTTCTTCGAGGAGAGGGCCCCGACACTAGGTTATGGAAGACTAGTGTTAGACCACTAACCTTGTTAAAGAAAATAGAGATGACTTGAAGGCCAGGATTTTGACTAAGGTGACTAATAAAAGAAGAGGAATGTTACTAGCTAGTAGATGCTCCCTTGCATATGGGAAGGGAAGCTGTCGATCATCCACCCATATATAGAAAGCATTGCAAAGGTTCTTGGGGTATTGCAAAGGTTCTTGGGGTATTTCCAGATGTTTTCTTTCGAGTCCAGTGGATTTTTAAGGAAGGCATTGGCGATCAATCTGGACAATTGAAGAAAGAGACTGGAAGGCCATCCATGGTTCAAATCCAGACCTATTCACCAGACATCCAAAGAGAAAAGATAATGGGAGGAGGCCCAATAGAGACAGTTTGTTTCTATGATACCAAAGAAAAAAAGCATCTAAAGAGATTTAAAGGAGTTACTTAGGCTAAGAAAGTCATCAGCATCATCGTCAAAGCCTTTTCCCAACTAAGAAAGCACGATAAGAAATATATAAAGTGATATGGTACAGGGTGACCACAAACCCCCAGCTATGAGGGTAAAAAGCTCGAGAGATGGAGGTGAATGGAAGTCCATACAGAAAGGCTATATATAGCTTCATACGGAGTAATAGACATGGACACAGCCTCTAGTTTTTTTTTTTAATTGGTTGACTGTTTTATTCTATTAAGGTAAAAGGATACAAGTAGTAGTTTAGGGCTTCCCACATGCCGGGAACTCCATACAAAAAATAATCTTCCCAACGTGTGGGAGCTCTGTACCAAAAATATGTAGTGACGACCCCTTGCGAGGTCGCCCTATACAAAGACACAAAGAACGTGAGGAGTGTATAGACAAAGAGTTACAAAAATCCTCCCTAAGGGGTTCAAGGTGTTACAAAAAGTCAAGCCAAAAAGTTTAGTAGTACTGATGTGTGCCCCCTCCTTAGCGAGGGGTCCGCCTCCGCGTTGGATTCCCACCAGCTATGCCTCCATGAGACGTCCATATGCCGCAGATATGAGCAATTTCATCAAATACGTGGGCGAGAGACTAAGGGACAGGAGAAGAGCCTGAGGTCCATCCGATAACATTCATAGAATCTCCCTCGATAATTAAACTCTGGCTCCATTGGGGAGCGGACAATTTGTGTTCCAAGAGGGTGAACGCTTCAGCTGTTAGGGAATCAGCATGACTGATATGTTTGGAGAAGGAGGCAAGGGGGTGGCCCCCCATAGTTGTTGGAACTTTGTAGGAAAGGTCACAGATCCTCTCCAGAACCTCAGTCCCGCGATTCTAGCTACGGATCTTAGATGGAATGCGGATCCCTATATTGTGATCCTCATTCCCAGCAGATTTGACCGTACTTCTCAAGTGTATGACACAGTGCATATGATGTTTTCTATATTCGGCACTGATTCATATGCACTGATTGAGGTTTGTGCTCAATTGTACTGTGTACCCATGCATCATTTTCAATCCCTTAAAACATACTATTGTAATTCCTTCCTCATGGAATCACGCTTCCCTGTGACAAGGATCCCGCTCCCTTGATATAGGATAGTACGGATGATGATCCCAACCACAAGGAGCTTGCCAACAATCCACAGTTCTGCAGACCCAAGCCAGCTCCCACTCTCGGGAACACACCCACACCCAACAACTACTCCCCGTGATTCCTAATAATTCCACCAATGCAGTCAAAATTTAGTTTGGTCTGTCCAGGGGGGGTGGAGACCATCGGGAAACGCGGGACATTCGTGGGCGTTTGAAGACAAGTAAGGCCTGTCAATTTTGGAGAAATGTCGAGTGTGGTAAGTCCTTGAAGCATTTGTGGTTACTTGCCCAGAAAATGACCATGGATCTGATTTTCTCAAACAAGGCTAGAGGCGAGCTCTTTTCACCCCCGAAATTCTGGTTTTTCTCTTGGTCCAAACGACCCAAAGGGTGGCTGCAACTGAGGCCCTCCACAAGAGGCTGCTAGCTTTAGGCCAAAGAAAGGGCTGAAGGGATTTAGAGAGTGCAGGGGTAGACTGCAGAGTGACCCAATACCAGTTAAGCAGCTAGAGGAAAAAACCCCAAAGTTCGTGTGCCAGAGGACAATGTAGAAATAGGTGGGTATTGCTTTTTTTCATCAGGTAAACACATCACGCATCTATTGGGGATGGGCAAATCCCCTCCTTTGAAGCTGGCCGACTGTGAGGGCCCTTTCTGAGAGCGCAATCCAATTAAATACTTGGATTTTGGGAGGCACAATGGAGGACCAAGCCTGGGCTATGATAGAGGTAGGGCCAAGGGGGAAGGTGGGTGGTTGGACCAGCTTTTTGTAAAAGGAAGACATAGAGAAGGTCCTCGGAGTGGAGGGACACCAGACCAGCTGATCAGGGCCCGAGGGTGAACAAAAAGTAGAGTAGAGAGATGCAAGGTTAGTGAATTATGTCTACGAGGGATCTTCTGAACGAGGGGTTCCAAACTCTAGAGAAACCCGAGGGGGGACATCTCCGAAGCCAAAGAGGAAAGAGGGTTGAGGGCTAGACAAGATAAGGAAGGACAGATGGTGGAAACAAATAGAGCTGTGAAATAGATTTAGAGAGGTGAGGATCGATTTCCAAATTCCGGAGGTTCTACTTGAAGGTGTTCGATCCATAGTTAAGGGAACCTTGTGGGTAGGGTGACGATCCCTCTCCGGAACCTCGATCCCACGGTTCTTACAAGGGATCTTGTAGGGACCCTGGTTTTTTGATTTTGGGATCTCGCTCCCAAAAAAAGGGGACCACGTTCCATCTATCAGTGAAATCCAATTCCATTTCGAAATAGATCCTCGCTTCCATCAACCACGTTCCATCTATTAGTGAAATCCAATTCCATTTCGAAATAGATCCTCGCTTCCATCAACCATGGTCAAAGGTTTTGATACATTAAAATCTTGGGATCCATGTTTGTGGGATCTACTTTCATTAACGGATGAAACCAGGTTAGAGATTGCCATTGTCCAAGTTCACATTATTTAGAAATCATAAGTTCCATGATGGTAAAATCCAATCCCTTCTTTGCAAAGCACGAGGTTCCATTATTTGGATACCATTTCCTAAGACGAGAAGTGTTGTGCTTTCTATGGTTGTGTATCCCTAGGCCTCTTGTCCTCTTGTCCATTCAGAGAGCCAGTCTTTGAGAAACAATGGAAGCAGAGAGACTACATTCGAAGAAGATGACCCTTGAGTGGTAGGATTCTAGGTTGCTGGGGACTCTGAGGGAATGGTGCATGCCAAACTTGAGTCATGGCCTGAAGTTGTAGTGGGAGGGGCAGGCCTCGGTAATGGAGCACTCTGACGAGCTCATTATCAGCATCAAGGCGGTTGCCTAATGATCTAATGCCCCAACATCATCCTCGAGGTGATTATCATCAGGATAAAAATCCCATCCTTTGTACTTCTCTGCATAATCTGATTGCAGTCTACTTAACAAACTGTCATTGTAGTGAACATAAACCAATGACTTGGAGCGTTGAGCATTTAACCTATTTCGCTTAACACTGTGAATATGACTATATGTAATCCAGCACCTCTCAACACATGACGAGTTGACACTCTGAGACAATACCTTAACAGCTAGTGAATATAATTCAGGCACCCCACTACCATATAGATCCCACCACAAAACAACTGCCACTATTCCTCCGTCGGAAATGGATGCCGGGAGTAAGAAGACTCCTTTATTGCTTACAAAATCACTGAGTGCTGCCGTATTCTGCCCCTCTCATTCTCGTTTGGGTACAACCTCTAAAGCATAACAAGATAGGAAGGTAATACTTCTTTATCGTGGTGCCGCTTTAGCCTCTTCTTCCCACCATGAGTTGGCATAGTTAACCATTCCCGAGAGTGATACTTAGGACTTAAACATATGCCAAACATAGTTAAGAATTTCGATATTAGAACAAGAGGAACCTCGTTATATGACATATTAGAACCTCGATTCCTTAACCAAGGGAACTTGTACTAACTCTATTTGACAACCTCATTTTTATGTATAGGGGAGCTTAGATTCATGCTAGTCAAAACATCAAACCAATTGACATGGGATTTCGCTCCCATAAACCTAAGGATCTCATTCCTTGTCTTGTTCATTGTACAAACGCCGATCCTAACCTCATGGAGCTTCCACTATAAGAAGGTTCGGCGGATCCCGAACCGATCCTGCTCTCGTCTCCAACAATTATGGTTTGATCTGGTATCCAGGTGGAGGAGAGAGGGCGACACTTTTGTTGAAGGACTTGAATCCACAACCGGTTATCAAGAGTACCCAATATCCACCACCATTTCCTAAGACAAGCAGTGTTGTGCTTTCTAAGGTTGTGTATCCTTAGGCTCCGAGACATTTAGGCTAGCACAAATTTTCCCAAGAGATGAGATGATACTTGTCGGTGCTTGGGTCTCCTGGGCACAAGAACCTTTTCATGAGCTGCTCAAGGCGAGCAGTCACTGCTGCAGGCATATGGAAAAGGGACGTTTGGTATATAGGGATGTTAGAAAGGGTAGCCTTGATAAGGGTGATCAGGCCAGCCGGTGAAAGGAAACGTCCCTTCCACCCTGCTGGCCTTCAGTCCACCTTGCTTATGTTATGAGAACAATGTCTCGTCTTGGGTTTCGGTAGGCACATGGGTAGTCCCAAATAATTATAAGGCAAAGTTTCCACCTGGCAACCCCAACTGTTAGCAATGTCTTTCATGGCCTAAAGGTCCACTGCCACTCAAGCATCTTTGATTTGGACATGTTGACCTTAAAGCCAATGGCGAATTCAAAGCATTTGAGAAATAGGTGAAGGGATTCGAGTTCTTCAGGAGAAGCTCCGTAAAGGACCAGAGTGTTGTCCGTGTACTGGAGGTGGGTGATTACTGAACCTCGGAGTCCACACTTAAACCCATTGAGCCGTTCGGAGAGGAAACATGCAAGAAATCGATTGATTGAAAATCTCTGCGACGATGGCAAATAGGAAAGGGGACTAGGGTAATGAAGGCGGCACTCATCACCCTATGGCTGATCCCTCTAGAGTAGAATCCTTCAAATAAACATAGGAAGTCATTTCTGAAGGCATCCCAGAAGGTTTTAAAAGGGGTCCTAGGGAACCCAATGGGACTTGGGGCTGTGTCTTGGCATAGATTGTTGATGGCCAAGAGAATTTCGTCTTATGTAAAGGGTTGTTCAAGCCAAGAGGCCTGCTCAGGGGAGAGAGTCTGGAAAGAGAGGTCTGCCATCCTTGGTCTGGGGCTGTCAAGGGCAGTTAAAAGTTGTTTGAAGAATTGTACAATGGCTCCTTCAACCTCGGCTGGTTGCTTGAGCTATTTGGTCCCCACCTTGATGAGGGTGATCGTGTTATCCCGAAGCCGGCAATTGGCAATTTTGTCCAAGAATGTTGGCTTGGACACAGCTTCCAGTTAGACGCCTCAAGCGAAACATTGATGGGTGCAGCAAAGAAAATAGAAAGAATTCGATCCTAGGAAGTTTTCTAGGGACACCATGGGAGAGGTGATTTTTACATTATACAAGCCCAGGGATAAGAGACACCAATGATTGAGGGGTTGCAAAAATGTCATAAGATAGGACATCAAGAGAGTTGAATGCCATTATAATAAATAATATTGTTCGGGAGATCTTGGATAACTAGGAGAAAATTGAGGCAAGTAATCAAGTGGTTTTGAAGTTGGTTATCTTCCTTCAGGATACTCAAAAGTAATCTATGATTGCTTTGTTATCCAGATGTATTGAATGTTTTGCAAACAAAATTGTTACTTTAAACCTTCAAGGGGAACAAGAAAAGATAAAGAAGACTCGATATGGTTAAAAGTTTTCCATACTATGTTAGTTCCTACTCTTCTTATTGTTTCATTTCATTTTACATTTCTCTATGACTTTGGTTTGTGCTATTCCACTATATTTTTTAGGATTTACTTTTCCAACTAAGCAGAAGAAAAAAAAATTACCTATTTCAAAAGCTGCTCCATGTTGTGTGCAACGCACATGCAAGCAATTAGTAAGGAACCAAGCATACCAACACATGAGATAGACAGAGGGAGATTACTAGCTAGTAATCAGGATTATTACCTTTGGGCCATGACATTAACTGTGTCCGCCAAGCTCATTGTTTGGCTCCTCCAAGCTGAGACACATGACGCGAGAAATGAAGTCCTCAAGGCTGCTCTGGTGAAGTCGTTTGCTCCACTTGAAATAAGCTTTCTAATCAAACCAGTAATCCCATGAAGCTCTGACTCTGTCCTCAAAAACCAGACTGAATCCAAAGCAATACACAAAGCATCATTCAGCCTTTGCGTATCAGCCAAAGGGATCAAACTCTCTGCAAATTCCCAATTATGAGAGCTTACTGCAGTTTGAAACTTCCTCCCAAGCTCTATCCTTTCATTTTTACTTGTCCTCAGGTCATCAGAGCTCTTATTCTTAGCATGCATCTCTGAATTTTCACCACAAACTCTCCTAAATTTATCTGATTGCCTTTCCTTGCTACCTATCTTAGAATTCTCTCTACAAACCCCTCTAAATTTGTCGGAGCACTTAGCCTTGCTATCCATCTCAGATTTCTCCCTACAAACCCCTCTAAATTTGTCAGAACTCTTATTGCTGACACCCATATCAGAATTCTCACCACAAACCCCTCTAAATGTATCAGAATTCTCATCAATTGGAACCATCTCAGAATTTTCTTCACAAACATCACTAAATCTATCAGAAGAGCTTACATCTCTGCTACATTCCCCTCTCTCTGAAACCCTCATCGCACCTTTGCCAACATGACCAAACCCAGAATTCTCACCATTCAAGTCATGACACAGCAAATTGACTCCACCCACATCTTCTCGGTGCATGAACGCATCTTGCATGGGTCCACTCTTCAATTCGTAAGTTGAATCTTCATCCATAAAAACAATTTCCTCTTCCATTTTCAGCGAATGATCTGATATCCTAGGCTTAAAGAATTAGCCGGATTTTCTCATGGGTGGTGTAGAGGCTCAGGTTTCAACATTTATTTTCCTGCAATTAGTTTCAGTTGGTTTTTGTCCAGGAGAATTCACACATGCAATGTCAGGCTCTAAATTTTGCGGAAAACAAATGGGATAATACCTAATTTTGAAAGAAATTTCTAGGGCCTAAACTTTCCTGAAAATGAATAGGAAAAATCCTAATTTTACAATAGTTTTTTTAGGACGCAACATCAAGACTGCCAAAAATCAAGGTAGTGATGACTGATTATCGAAAAGCCACAGTTCTTAATACGAATTAATCTTTGCACTAAAGCAGAAGAACCAAATTTCGAAATGAAAAAGGGAACTTAAAAACTCCAACCAAATGACTACATATAATCAAAACCCAAATTGCATGTGTCCTAAACAAGACTCATGTGTAAAAAGTTTGAAAAGAGAAAACGGCCTATAAAGGAAAACGAAATCCTAAAATCAAATACTATGATCCATTATATAAGAAAAAAAAAATCTCAGATAATCAAAACGCAAATGGTGATAAAATCACCAGTAAAAGGAAAAGGAAAAGAGGTGATTATAAGAGAGGGTAAAATTAAAAAGGAATAGATGCAACCCACCCAAACAACATCACCAGGAAATAATTAAAACAAATTAGACCCGAGAAAACAGAAAGAAACCTCGAAACCTCAGTCTGATATAAGTTATTACAATTAAACCAGAGAAATTCTTAATAAAAGAAATAGGGTCAGAACAAACAGGCCTCGAAAATCCTCTCCTGAAGAAAACCCAATACTGGGAATTAATAAAGAGGTAGAAAGCCTACACAGAGAAGATGATCAGATAGAGAGAGCACAATCAAAATGGGGAGGGTGGTTTACCTTGGAGGACGGGATAACTGGGGAGAGAGGGAAATGGGGTATTCATTTTGGGGTGAGAAAGTGTAAAAGGGACACAAAGATAGATGCCCCAATGGATTGGAGATGTGACCTGCAACTGTTAGGCACCCCTACAGAGAGCACTGGGCATGAATAGAAAATGGTAAGAAATCCGTTGGATGGCAATTTCGTAATTTTTGATGGTTATGCAGAGCTAACGAATGGGTGGCGTAGGTGCTGTTGCCCTTAAATAAATCCAATGGAAAATGAGAAAGCAATCCCAAATTTAATTAAGCCTGTCTTATTAATTAAGCAAAATGTTTGTACAGGGCTTCAGCCCTATTAAAAACAAGTAAAACCTCACCTCAAAATTTATCAAAAAAATTACGATTTTGGTGATCAATTACCATTTTGGTATTAGAAAATCTCCAAAACTATTATCCATTATGGTGGTGAAAAAACAAAAAAAAAAAACCATTAAGATTTTAAATCCTGAAAATAGTGTATACTGTAATACATTATCAGAACTGCTTATTTTGCTTTAAAATAAATATTTATAAATGCGTAAGATGCCTTATAAAAACTTTAATCATTAATAAAGCATAATATGTTATAATAATTAAAAAAAAGATTAAAATGTCAAAAATAGAAATATACGCTACTTCTATTCTAAAATAGAAAATTAAGTAAAAATAGTGTATACAATAAGGCCGTTTTTTATTATCATAAAGAGGTCAGAGTTATTCATATCCATTAGATGTCAAATTGGTGATGTAGTATAGAGTTGAAATTTTTTTTTTTTTGCATTTTGAGTTTAGTCGATGATATTACGACTGCCTTATTGAAAATGTGGTGATAAAAGTAATTATAAATTTTTTATATTAAAAATATAATAATATTTTTATGTACATTTCAATAAAAACAACAAGAGAAATGATTCCATAAAACCCTTCCCCACTCATATGTATAATACTTCAAATGATCACAATTAAATTTAACATGGATATATAAAAAAAGCAAGTCCCACATTTATGTGATAACCTTTTTAGAAATCCATGCTAATTTTAATGGTCATCCGTTGGGGCCCAACACACATAAGTAGATGACGATCCTGTACGAATCGTTCCAACTCTCAAAACAAATATTGAAATAAATGTCAAATAAGCAAATAAATAGAGGTCATGCAAATTTAGGACGCAAAACACCTTGAACCTTTTCAATAATGACAATATGCCCTCACATTTTGCGAACGCCTGTTCCACGTGTGTACGGACCGTTTCCTCGCCCTTGCGATTCGTGTCTGAAGTCCAAAGAGTAGACAGGAGAAAAGGTGGTGGCATCTTTTGACTTAAAGACAGTCTCGTCCTTACAAATGTTTTGGCTATCATCAGCCTAATTCGGCTGTCAAAATGTTGATTTCTTTTTTAAATCATGAACTTTTATTGATAACAGAAAAAAACATAGCAATTACAATGGCGATACTCACAAACTACAACATGGGAACAACTCACACCACGTTTAGCTAAGAAACCTTGAACTTTTTTTAAAAAAATTTATATAGAATCAAGGTTGTAAACAATCAAATTAGGGCCCACCTAAAAAATTTCACTAGGTACATGTTTGATTTTCTGAAAGTATTCTTTCATATTTTTAAACGTTTTGCGTTTGTTTCATACTTTTCATAAAAAATTCAGAAACAGATCTTTCAATAAAAGTTCTCATTCCTTTGTTAAAAAGTGAAAGATTAAGTTTTTAAGAGGGCCAGAAGTTTAATCTTTCAGAACTTTTTTGTTGATCACTATTCACTATGCATCACATGAATACATAATATTAGTATTATTAATATGGTATAATATTACTATAACATAATATTATGTAATATAATATTATAATATATAATGTTTTATATTATATTAAATATATAATATAATATATATAATATAATATTTATATTATATATATGTTACTTATATATTATATATAATAATATAAATATTATCTTATATTATGTTGGAAAAATGACCTTTAACCCCTCTTTGAAATTTCCATTCCTATTAACCCATAGGTTAACCAAAATCCCTTGCACCCTGTCAAGTTTTAAACTTTGGGACCATTA